AATTAAAGGTGTTACCTCACAGGTGGTCCCGTTCTAATTTGGTTTAAATCCGATCATTGGATCATGAAGAAATTAACTATAATCTTAAATTTTTAAATGAGAATTGAAGTCGGTTTTGTTTTTTGCTTAAAAATTACTTGTTTGTGTTTAATTTTTCGCACTTAAGTATCTGGGGATTGTTCTCAACTCCACTTAACCAAAGCGTTTTCCAAAGTTTTTGTTAAATCTTGAATTTTCCAAATTGTGGCTACAACAACCATTTATCGATGACGCCAACGAAATCATAATAAGGCTGGATGACTATTGTTTAAAAGTGAACGGTTAACTCATTAAATTGTTTAAATTCATTATTAATTAGAGATCTTCCACAACTCCACATTCAAATTTTGACATCATTTAACTATCTGCTCTATTAAGGTGGTCTAATGGAATTGAATGAGTTACGTGGACGCCTGATAGCTGCTCGTGGGCAGAGTGTAGTTCACCAAGAAATAACAAATGAAGACATTTTAATGGCCGCAAAAAAGTTAACCATTTTTGGGAACGGGTAAGTTTTTTTATAAAGGCTTAAACTAAATTAAATACTATTGACTTAAATTTCATAAGCTTTGTTGTGCATAAAGTGGGTAAAGGAAAATACATGGTGCAATCGATACCAGGAGAGCTTAGTATGGAAGAAACTAAAATACTAACCGCGGCTTCCAATACAGAATTGGGATGCGTAACACTGCAAATGCTTACAGAGCAACTTGGGTATGTATAAATTGCTCGATCATTAAGAAATCGTATGGCTAAATCATGTCTTATATCCAGATGGAGTGAATTTCGCACCAAACAAGCGATTGATAAAACCGTAAGTGAAGGTTTGTGTTGGATTGACAAGCAGGATGGCGAACATATCTACTGGTTTCCAAGCTTATTTCCTGGTCGATATGCACAAAGCGTTTGATTAACGAGGTGCCATCCTGTATAAAATATAAATATATACATATATACATATAATTATAAAATAAATTTACGTGTCTATTCTATTTAATACACACATACATACATATGTACATAGTTACGCGGAAAATATATGGTATTATTTAAAACAATAGTTCACAGATAAATTTATAACGCTTAAAAATATTGTCATTTTATAAAAAATATCCCACTAAAGAGCCATATTATCGCAAGTAGATATATAAAACAATAATACAACATCAATCACCGTCGGAATTATAACCCTTTTTTAGTTGTATAATTTGATTTTCGGCCTTAAGCTTCGCATTTTCTCTCTGCAGGTGGTAGACTTGGCCTTCAAAATTTTTCGTTATATCCTTCAGAGTATTTCTGTACCTAAAAGATACAAAGCTTGTTTATTATTTGATGCTGCATGTGCTTTGCTTAAAAAGAAAAAGTAAGGACAGTGCTGTTTTCGGTTATGAACATCATCGAATAGATTACTTTAAAACTAGTAAAACCCCATAATAATAATGAATAAGTAGTCGTATGGAGGCTATAGGTTATAGTGATCCGATCTTTATCATTTTCACTATAAACTCCCTGTTAATAATAAGGGAAATATTGCGAAATATCATATTCATGAATCAGTTGTATGGGAGCTACGTATGTACTATATGGGCCTTTCCATGAAATTGTAAACCGAAAATGCAAGCAAATGAATTCAAAGCGGNATAAACTCCCTGTTAATAATAAGGGAAATATTGCGAAATATCATATTCATAGATTCATAGCTGCGTATAACAAAAATTCTCATATCTGAATCAGTTGTATGGGAGCTACGTATGTATATGGGTCTTTCCATGAAATTGTAAACCTTTATAACTTTAAATATCGTATTCAGATGGCGGAAAAAGGTTTTAAAAACGCGAAACGGTGGTGAGAAGCACTGAAAAATTTAATGTAGTATGTGTTGCTAGTAAAAATATTGTACGGGGGAAAAATTTGTCGCGTACGTTATTATGTTTTTTTTTTTAATAAAAACTAACCAGAGATAATTTCTATTAACAAATGGAATGATTGTAAAGGTACATTATTTAGCTTAGTTTAGGAACTTTTAAAGAAAAGGAAAAGTCCCATGATTCGCAGACTTTCGCATATATGTATATCGTCGTTTAAAGCACAAAATCGCGTATCAGCAGCGTATGTGAGGTTGCATAAATTATTTTCTAGAGGGTAAAAATACTCATATTTCAAAATGGTTCTCTTTTTTATAAAGCAATCGCACTTCTGGCTAGTATATTTCAGGACGAATGCATAAAGATTGAGCCAAGGGCTTGAGTGAGCAAATCCAATTTTTGGCAGCCAATGTCATTTACGCGGTTTTGTACTTTAAACGGCGATATGTGCCTTAAAACCACTTTTTTTGTCGCGTACATTATCACCTGTATTGAATGGATATTTTCCACACCAAAGTTTCGAGGCTGCTAATATCTTTCTCAAACATAGTACTCTTGGGTTGCAACATAACCGTAAGCTTGCTTTTCAGTAACTTCTATTTTTGAGAGATTTATCTTACTCCATAAGCGTACGAATGTCGCGTACGGCTACATGGAAACACCCATATGTTGTAGTGGTCCGATTTAGCCGGTTCCAACAAATGATTAATACATTATAAAAATACACCTGCTTACAAAATTTCAGACGGATATCTAGAATACTGAGGGGTTACATAGATTGGGTTCTAAGAGATGGACAGACGAACTTGCCAAAACCATTCAGCTCGCCTGAACATGTTGGTATACTTTTTCATCTCTTATTACTCTAGTACTTAATAACATTGGAAAATTATAAAAATAATAAAAAACATGAATGTATGGTAAATTGGCACTTACTTTTCTTTCAGGTTTTTGTTAATTTGTATGTAATTTTGTATTTCCTGCTCCGTTTCATTAGCACGCCTAATTATACATATGTATATATATATAACGCAAATGGATGAGATGTTTTGCCAAAAATAATTTTTGCTATTACCTCATTAAAATCTTTTGTTCCTTGAGTAAACTATCTTGTCTGCTTATTTTCGCCTCCATTTCGTCCTTATAAGCAAAACGTGTGAGCAAAACGCAAATTTTGTTTTAAATTTTTATATAGAGCTCATTTACCAAAAAAACTGTTGCAACTCAAAAAACCAGACCCGTTTACCGTTGCCAATAGCTGCCAAAATGCAGGAAATAGAGTGCATTTTGTCGTCTTATGCAGAAATTTGTACACAAATTTAAGCATCATAAAGGAGTAATGCTAAATTATAAGCTCATAAATCACATTTTTTTGAGTTGTGACAGTATATTAGTAAATAAGTTATGTCAGTGTAATGTGGTTCCTGACATACCAATGCTTTAACAGCGCTTTCCAATTGCAGCGTCAAGCGATCGACTTCTTTTTCACTGGTTTTGTATTTTTGCTGGAACCTATTACAGCGTGTCTCCAGAATTTGGTTGAATTTCTTTTGGTTTTGTATTTCCTCCTCCATCTATTTTTTAAATAAAGTCACGAATCGTTATCGGATAATCCTTTTGGTTATACATACATATATGTATATAGTAAATACACTTATACTTTAAATTACCTTGACTTGAATTTCTAACAGGCTTCGTTCCTTTCCACTAAACTTCCTACGCAAATCTTCCATATCCTTTTCTACTTTTTTTGCCGCTTCGTCCATTACTTGTCCAATTGTTGATGCTAAATTGTCACATTCCTCTTTAACAACCTGCTCCCGTTTTTGTGCGTCTTCTTTGTCCGCCACTGCCGCTTCAGCAATCGATAGGGCTTCCTGCACCTTCTGCAGCGCACATTTTTCACGCTCATAACGTTCCTCAATAGCACTTTTAGCAAGCTGTAGTGATAATTGGAGTTCTTTTGTTTGTCGTGTTGATTCATTTAGTTTGGTTTTGAGTTTTTCAATTGTTCCNACAATTTTCTTTTATATGGGGACAGTGCCAGCAAAAAAAATTGCCAAAAATCAACGGAACTGCATACCAGAATTTTCTCTGAAGATTCTTATTAAAAAGTTTGATATTTTGGTGAAAATTTACAGAATTTTAATAATTTTTGTACAAAGAATGAAATATGAATTTATTCGTTGTTTGTTGTATACCCAGCTTGACTTTTGTATAAAAATAATAAACATTAAATAAACAAAAGACAAATAGCAAAAACTGACCAAAATATCGCACTCCTATTATTCTGTGGACCACNCACTATTATCTGCGCTGCCCAAAGAACGTTGGTTTTCTTTGTATAAAAAAATTCTAATAAATATGCANTGTTCCACTATTATCTGCGCTGCCCAAAGAACGTTGGTTTTCTTTGTATAAAAAATGATTTCTTGACTGACAGTTTGTTTAAAACTTTCGTTTATCATTCTAATAAATATGCATGTGNTGAAATATGAATTTATTCGTTGTTTGTTGTATACCCAGCTTGACTTTTGTATAAAAATAATAAACATTAAATAAACAAAAGACAAATAGCAAAAACTGACCAAAATATCGCACTCCTATTATTCTGTGGACCACTGTATGTACATTAGACCAATCGTTATTTCAACTTTTACAGTTTCTAAATATACAGTTTGCCGGGCGGAAAAAGATGTCTTTTGGTCTAAAAATAAGTTGTGCAAAATTCTATTCGAATATGGTAACTCTAAGTACTTGTTCGTTGCATTTGAAAATGCAGCTATTTTTCTAATTGCGATGTGCATAATCATGCCAATGGAGATGATATTTTAATTGATTCTACGACCAAATGTGCTGTACAGTATCGATACCTTGCTTGAATCCAATATCATTAACTAAATTTGCTATAACTTTTTCATTTTTAAATCGATTTGCAAAATATCTATATACAGATATGGGTTAATATACGTTGAAATTAAATAAGTTTTAATATAGCCTTAACGTAAGAGCAAAAAGTTTGCAGCTTTTGGGTGTAGTTCACAGGAGAAAATCGATGAGACTTAAGACTGTGTCCGATTTCACCCATAAATTTGCAGTTACATAACTCTTAAACTGATAATTTCACTGCAAAACATTGTATAGCAAGTTCATAGGGATATTTTAGTAACTACTAAAGCTTATTCATTCAAAATTTATATTTACAATGGCCTTTACGGGAAAATAAGAATATATATATTTTTGGAAAATGGGCGTAGCCCCGCCCACTTAGGATTATATGTGTATATCCGGGTAATCGTAGAGGGCACAGAGAAGGTATCATTTTTTGGTAGAAAAGAAAACGCCATAAGCTAGCGATAGGTTGGTTATGCGTAGCTACAAAAAATTTACCAGTAGGTGGCTTGCGAGCTGAGCAAGCAAAATATAAGAAATAAACTACCAAATACCCCTATTAGAAAAATCAAAACAAAAATAAAAGTAAAAACAAATATTTTTAAAGCAAGCTTTCTAAATATGAACGAAATCGGACCATAAATATATCGACTCGTGCGCCACCTATCGGCAAAAATTTTAGTAGGGTTATTCCTTTTCATGTAGTTCATATAGTACTACGTTCTAAATATGAACCAAATCGGACAGTAAATACGGGTTTTTTAAATACATATCTCGGCTTCTTCGCCACCAATCGGATAAACTCATCTTTCGTATTGCATTGTCATTGGGTTCTGAGCCAACTGTGAAGTTTCAAGTCTCTAGGCTATCGGGAAGAAGGTCAAAAATTGATTCCAAGATTTGTCCGTAACAAACATACATATATACATAGATACATACATACAGAGCTTCCTGCAAAAATCGTTGGACCATGTAGTCTATTTGTGGTATATTGGAGTACTTACAAAAGTGTTCCTCTGTCATGCTATAGCGGACCAACACCACCAGCTTATTGTTACCCGATCACTGCTCGTGTTTTAACGAAACGTGATTGAAGTTGAGCATTTGAATGCACATTTGCATGTCTGGCTGTAGCTGAACATGTAGAGATGCTCGCTGTTAGTTCTTAGCTCCCAGCATGTTCGGGTTCGAATGCCGTCAGAGGCAACATGTACTTTTTAATTTTTGTCTTGGTTTTTATTGATTTCGAAAAAGCATTTGAGAAGTGAAGAACAAAAGCGTGTACAAACGAAAAAATATATCA